CCTCTGAACTTTCTTTGGAGGTGTACATTCTATTGGTTGAGTGACAACTGTTGATCTTTTTCCATCTCCCTTTTCCACATGAGATAACGAGTCAATGATGCCAACGGTTTCGCTCCTATTCGCATTAGAAATGTTCATGGTTCCCCTCGAAGCCTCTTGATTGTTACTCTTCTCGGTCGACGTAAAAAGTGTGTCACCCTTGGCCCTTTTCCTTACAAGTCTGATTGGCTTCTTAACACCTGGGATCCGGGTAGGTGGAGCGAATGTAGATTGAAAGTTCATATCCCCTATAAAGAACAATTATGTTAAACATGTTTTCCTTGACATTAAGAAACCAATTATGACAATGGGTGTAAGAGGATCAAGTCAGCAACCGAACGGACAATTAGGGAACCCATCTGAGTCCTCAACACGTCCAAACGCTCCATAATAGTCCACAAGGGAAATCATTTCAGCATCGACGAAGATACTCATTTTGACCATGTTAGGGTTCAGTGCTTGAGTTCAACATCAACTAAGTTTTCAGGCTTACGGACCTTTAGACCTTCCTACTCCAAATATTCTTTAAAAAGGAGAATGGTTTCAATGGCTCCAAGAACACGAACTAGGATTTCCACCCCTTCTTCCTATCCGAGAAGTCATGGATAAATTTGATCCCAATCTTCACTAAGATGAACAAATATCTTAACATGGAAGAGGTGATTAAAGAGCCCAAGTGTCTACAATTGTTTATGACACACATTAGGGTGTCAATGCCCTATAGTAATGATTGAACGCTAGGATGACGGGGTACCCCTTAGCTCAACACCATCGAGTTATAATGAAAGCCAACACATAACACAATATGAGGTTCATATTGTGGATAGTCATTTGGATTAAGAAAGCTCAATTATGATCAATGATATGGCGTTTTACTCATGTGGATAGTGACTTGTCACTCAAAAAGACAATTACACCTAGCAAAAGGATGTATCAATAATCATGGATTTTTGTGTGTCCTTTTAACGAGAAAGACTCGGTGTTCTCGACTCTTTCAATTGCTATGTCATCAAACATGGAATTGTTACAGCGCAAGAATGTGCGTCTTCCACTAAAGAAGAGGGTGAGGAAGAATTGTGAGGTCTGAATGAATTATGATACTTAGTTGTGTGGATTTGAAATTTATGTCAAACCTTTTTATCAGTTGTCAAATGTTTTACTCAATCTTTTAATTTTTATGTACGAAATGACTTTTCTCATGTATTTAGTGTTTTTTAAGGAATACTTTTGGGGACATGTGTCCATTACTTGATTAACACTCCAAACAAAGAAAAAACATGTTCATAGTGAACATATTAATAAGTTCAGTGTAAATTTAGTTATATTTCAATGTTTTTATCTTGTTTCAATATGTACATGGACTCAATGCTCAAGGATGATGAGTTTTTGGGTCATTTGGAAGCATTTTGTTAATCATAATGCATGATAGTGAATCAGAGACAAAATAGTGGGATAAACAACTATTGAGATCAGAACCCATTTTACTACCCTCATATTAGAATGGTGGGTTCATTTCTTAAACATGTTTGTATATAAAATATCTAAATCCAATCATTCAAATGATATTTAAAAGATAAATCAGCGATAAATAATTCATTAAAAAGTTGATACCAAAATATGAAAGGATCATGGTGAACCTAATCAAAGACTTCAGATGCCCGCAGTACAAAATTAATGAGGGACACCTCTCAAAATTTCAGTCATATCTTGCAATAAGATGTATCAAAACCATGTATCAAAACATACATGGAAGAATTAGGATAGGTGAAGAATTTTATTCTTTGTCATGAATGTTAGAAACCAAACACATTTGTGCGTATACATGTGTTTTTGTTTACTTTATAAGTCTTGTTACATGCCGTCTTAGGGCAATCATATCTCTCCTTATATCTATTAATAAAAATTAAGTCTGGAATAACATTAATAATAATGTACATGATATGTGAGACATTCCTATTTGACACACATTCATTGGGTGATGGTCATATGTCTAATTTGCCAGCATCAAATGATTGTGTGCAACAAAATGGTGTTTCTCAATAACTTAAATTTTTTATGTTCTCATAGACTTACTCATAAATAAAAATCATCCCTCCTCCCGTTGGAGAGAGACTAAAAATATTTGGGGTTATTACCTTTCTGGTTTTCACTCTTAAAGTCTAGTGTTTCATTCACACATCTCAGTCCAGTTAAATCGGTTTAGGGAACAGACCTCAATTATTCAGCACCATTGTGCGAACACATACAAGCAACAAAAAATGTGAAAGCTCATTGGTTCCTTTGGATTTAGCATACTTTTTCCAATGCTCTCAAATGGATTAAAAATAATATGGTTGAATCACTAGTCACTACCATCCAATCCATTATTGTTATTTTCTACAGGATGGATCAGATGGATTTAACTTAAGATACACAGGATGGAGTGTGGGAAAACACATTCATTTCTTTTAGTAAAGAGACCAGTCCAGTTTTGAAAGGACCGCAGAAGACTGATTTAATAAATTGAAAATTCATTTTTGGTTTACAGAGCCTGGTAGATCTTCTCGATCCAGCCACGATTAGAAAGCTAAAAATATGAATAAACATCAAGAACATAAACTCAGCGTAAAGGGCGTTTGCTAGGAGCTTTAACAAAAATCATTAAGAAAATACGAGAAACACTTATCGAGACCAGTAAAACCTAAATTTTGAGATAGATCTACAATTCTAACAAAAAGAGCATGAAATGAAATGGAATTGCTTAAAGATAATACCTGATGCTGGAGCGATAGATGTTGAATACTTTCGGGTGAAAGACGACCGATGGAGGCGTTGGGTTGTTTTGTTACTCGGTCTATTATTTCTCCGACCCCTATATTATATATCTCTTCCCCAAAGACCCCAGAATATTTGATTATATAATTTATACTCCACAGACGATGTAGACGTACGACTGTACGAGTATTATTTTACGGAGTATCATTTTATGCTCTAGATATTTTAATATTTTATTTTAGGCCGGTCACTATTTTCCCACCTCTACAAGATATTTTCTTTTCGTATGTATGCATGATTGCATCACTAATCCCAACAACTTGATTAAAAGCAAGAAAAATGGTAAATGTATCCAATTGGTACCTCAATTTGTACACTCACCCTATTTTTGTGACTTACAAAAGCACATCATTAAAGTGGTACAATTCATTTATTGAATTGGGCTTTTGTGAGCCACAAAAATAAGTTGGGGTACAAATTGGGATATCAATTGAAGTACCTATAGCAGGGTTGTAAAAGCAATTCTCATCGATTTTAACACGGCAATAACTTTTAATCCAGACATAATAACACTAAAATTAATTTGAATCGATTAAATCCGAACATAGTAAATTTTGGTTGTAATTTTTGAATCTGTTAAATTATGCAGAAATGATATTCAAAATATTTTACTCTGTATATTTTATTGGTAAAATAAAGAAAAAATAATATTAAGAATACCTAAAATGATCCAGTATATCCGTCTCAGAAAAGTAAATTCAATCTTATTTAAAATCCGGCGCGTTAAAATAAAAATTATGTGTTTGATAAAAAATTAATTGATAAACTAATAAGCCGAAAATAGATGTTATTAAGGGATCTCTTAATATTTCATAATTTTTTTTGTCTTTTTTCATGTCATTTAAAAAATATTCAGAATACAATTCTATAATTGACATTATCATTTCTGTAAGTGGAGATTACCCCAAATTAGAAAATGAATCAAGACATGATATTTCTTTTACAAAAGACAAAAAAATGCGAGAATCTAAACAAAAAGTGAATACCAAAAAGCATATTTGAACCCTGTTTATTAAGTGACTCTATACTCTGTAGGCACTCCACATACGGAGTATAACGCTTGGACTAGAAAATGGCATTTTATCCAAAAATCAAAATGTATACTTTACAATGTACATCTACAATAACCTACGGAACGACTGAACGAGTTTTTCTATAAAAATGGAATGAGCCCTTTCATACGCGCATTGCATTGAATGAAAATATGAAGGAAAAATATACTCTGTATAATAACGATGAAATGAACATTCGTTAATTATGAGATTAGCAACTGTAAAATAAAATTGCAAAAATATCCACATATAACTATATAAGGGTGTATCACATAATCAAGTGAATATTGATTTTTAAAAGTTCATAAGAATTTAACTGTATTCCATTAGAACTTTAAACGGAAATTGTCCTAAATAGGACTAATAAGTTCCTAAAAAGCACAAATAGGACTATTATTTTTAAAATTCCCTAAATAGGACTAAACATTGATTTTCTACCCTAAACACCCCTAAGAGTATTAATTCATAATGAAATGCTTTAATTCATAATAAAATCATAAAAAACGTAAAAAATATTTAAAAAAAACGTAACAAAATTATAAAAATTTATAAAACAATTATAAAATAAAAAATTTAATTTTTTATTTTGTTTTTTATTTTTTTAAAAAAATAATAAAAAATAGTAAAAACCCATAAAAAATGAAAAAAATTATGGATACCTTTCTCACCGCCTCCCGCCGCCTCCCAGCACCACCACCTCCGATTGGTGAAATTTCTTCCAATTTTGGTAAAAAATGCCATATTTTTCTGAAAATGCCAAAAAGATGGCATAATTACTCTTCAATATGCCAACATTTTCATTGAATATGCCATCATTATGGCATTATTTAAAATGTTGGCATATTTTTCTCCGGTGATGGGAGATGGTGGTGCTGGGGTGGCAGGGGTGGTAATGTTTTTTTTTTTAATTTTATGATTTTTTTTATTTATTTTTTATTTTTTTTTAAATATTTTTATTAATTTTCTATTATTGTTTTACGATTTTTAGTATTTTTTTCGATTTTTATTAATTTTTTTATGATTTTATTATTAATTAAAACATCTCACAAGTTACAAGGGTATATTTGTCCAAACACACATAAATAGTCCTATTAAGGGAATTTGAAAAATGTAGTCCTATTTGTGCAATTTTGTCACTTTTTAGTCCTATTTAGGGAATTGACTCAACTTTAAAAAATCAATAACAAATTACTTAGTACTAAAGTTTCAATGCAGACTTTTAAAATTGAACAAAAGTTCTGGTGTATTGAAAATAATTATGAAATCATGGTTTTGGATAATCATTCATAGTGATGGATTTTAAACGCGTTTAAATAATCATTATTTTTCCATCCTCTAAGAGATTTGACGAGATTTTCTAATGCTTTCTTCATTTCTCCCAAACGTAGGCAAAGCAGCCACATCAAGCATTTCTTCTTTTAGATTTCCAATCTTCCCTTGTACTGCTTATTCTTCTTTCAAAACTTCTTTGTTCAAATCGACAAATTTGTGTGCTTTACAAGCTACATTTCTTTGCTTTAAAGGAGTATGGCTACCTTCGTTGCAGGATGTGCCGTTACTTCCTTCGGAAATTCTCTACGTTGCGGCAACCTCGCTCACTTCTAAAGCTCCAATGTGGATCTGGGTTTACATCAAAATGCGGATTCAAAAGCTCGTTTTCGCGTTATGATGTAAAAGCCCAGGTTGCTGCAGTAGAACAAGTTGCTGAAGTGATTCCAAAGATAGAATCTCTCGTAGTTGTTGTCACTAGAGCACCTAGAGGAATTGACAAAGCCATTGCCTTGGCTTTAGGCAAGGCGAGATGCAAGGTTATGGTTAATTATGCAAGGTCCTAAAAAGAGGCTGAAGAAGTGTGCAAAGAGATCGAGGCAGGTATTGTTGGAAAATTATTAAGTATTTCAAATAAACAAAATTGATTTAAAATGTTTTTTTTTATTTAATTAATATTTAGAACAATAATGTACGGATAACACTTTAGTCAGATTTAGTTTGTTGAAATGCTTGAGTGCTGACCGAGTATTTTGGGAGCATGGGTGTGTTGCTTGGCCAGCCACAACTCTCTCCTAAGTACGTGGATCACCTAGTATCCCCAACAACTTCATTTTATCAAATATTTTACATGCTTCACACCTCTATTTAATGGACTTACGTGATCGAAGACACTATAGAGAGTATCTAATTAAGTCCGAATACTTTAAACTATACATATAATATTACGCTAAATAAACTGCTGGGTTACATAATCGATACTTCTATCCTCGTAGTTCTGTGTCCGGCAATTTCGCCGATGGGCTCGTTATATCTTGGGGGAAGATTTCCGGCCACCGGAAATACTTTCTTTAGGACAGCGTCTGACGCGTCTCGAGCCGTTTTATTCTCTAACATTGTTTTTGCAGGTTCCGACGACGATTATCTACAACAATCTAAAGAAAGTATTTATCGTCGGAAACTGCCGCTCGCCCCTAATTGCTGGAGAAGTCAGTCGCCAGAGTGCCAGATATCCGTCGGCCAGAACAGGTTGCAAGTGAGATGATGAGGATGGACGCAAAGTCGTTGCATAATTGTACCGTTACTTCTTGACCGTTCTGTTGGTTGTCGTCCGCGTCATTTGCTGCTAGCCCCCTGTATACGTTCTATGCCCACATGCCTGCTGCGAATGAAATTTGGTATCTCTATCAATTACTTTAGTTGCATTTTTTATATCTTCGGGAATCTGCATGTGTTATCTTATGGTAATTTGTGATAATTTTAATTGTTACCCTATTCACAATAAGCCTTGTTTTAATCCCAAGTGTTATAATTTATGTCATTTTATGTGATAAAAAGACAACTATGAGAAACAATAATCCACTTCAATCAAAATTAAAATTGATTAAAAGTGATGAAGATTTTATAGCAGTTGTTTCTCAAAGTTGTAAAATAAATGATGTGAATGAATGAATTGTAGACTCCGGGGCTACCAAGCACATTTGCAAAAACAAAAATGCTTTAACCTCCTATATATCTTAGTACTATTATAGGAGATGATGAAAACCTTGTGTACCTGGTGGATTTAAAACCGCTAAGGTGCAAGGTAAAGGAAATGTTATTCTTAAACTCACATCGGAGTAAACTTTATCACTAAATGACATGTTTTTGTGCATGAGATTCGGACAAATTAATTTTGTTTCCGTTTCTCTCTTGATATAAATTGGGGTTAAAATATCTTTGATTATGACAAAATTGTCATGACTAAAGATGGTTTTTTTGGGCAAAGGCTATTGTAAGAGTGGGTGTTCTGTGAAATATTATGTTTATGTACTAAAGTATGATAATGCTCTCACTTAATTGATTGATTCGTATGATTAATGGGATGTTTTGGAAGTCTTAATTACATGTGGTAATATTTTCTATTGTTGCTATTGATGTGTTAATTCCTATAGTGTCTTAATTACTTGTTGATAAATTCTGTGAGATTTTGTTACTGTGTTTCACCATTACAAATTAATATCTAATTTATAATTGTGATGACCGAATTGAAAATTCCATTGGTAGAGTAATATGGCTGAGTGGAAAATTCAAATCTGTTTTGTCTTTTTGCATGAAGGTGCAGTTCTGGTTTTTTTTTTCTTATTGAAAATTGAAATTTGAATTAGTTAAAGACTAATAATACGCTACTGCATGCTTGTAACGCAATCAGCAAATTGCTCATGCACGATTTAGTACGGTGATATAGGTTTGTTAAATATATTGACTTTGTTAGAAGTTATTGAATGGTCATAATTTTTAATTTGTTAAGTACGATGTTATTGCATGCACATTTATACGTTTTTCTGGAGTCTTGCGTTGAGTTTTTAAATTGCGTATGCTTTAGTCTATTTTGTATGAGGGCATGGTTCTTTCTGGGTTTGCACGTTACGAAGTTTTATTGGCCTAATTAATTAATTATTATCTCTTGTAGTTTATCATGCAAAAAGTTTTATTAACTCTAGCTACGTGGTTGCATGGATAAGCCTGAAGTCAGTTTTGATAAAAATTTGAATTGTGCTTATTATACGTGTAAATGTTTACCCAGTTATATGCCGCGTTCATATCTTGTTAGCCGCATGTTATTCCTCTAAAATTATTGTTCACATTGATTAATGTACGGTGAGCTTAATGTTATACTCCATATATATTTAAAATGTGGGGGTTATTTTAAACTCATTCTAACGTAAATGAGATACCATTAATTATGGAATAAATTTGATTGGGATTATCCGTTGTAATTAATTGATACAATGATGATATGTTTATTGAGAAATAACCATTGTACTAGAGCAGTACAATGATGTTATATGAGAGTTATCCATTGTATTACAATGATCTTATATATTTTATTAAGAGTTATCCGTTGTATTATCGGGATACAACGATGTCATTTGAGTTGAATATCACACAAGTGATTTTGTATTTTCAAATTGGTGAAATAAACTATGTGAAACCCGGCTGAATGTCGGAAGATTGAGCAAAATTGTGGAAACACAAAAACTGTATTTGATGAGCTAAGCCATTGTATTAAAGTAATACAATGATGATATAATTTTTAGATGATATTGTCGTATAGTCGACTGCAACGATATCATATGACGAATGGAGTCAATAGTCTCCTTTGGCTGAAATCCTAGGATATTATATGTTATACACCGAGGGAAATGGACTGTCACTTGATAACAAATAGGGATGGTAACCCAACCTGTGTGATTGGAGATCCCATGAAGCAGGTTCATATGGGTAATAACAAGTCTTCTATTTGTTCCTGCTAGCCTATTATGTCCATTTCTAGGGTGAGGCTAGACTGCATTCGCTGTGAGGGTGAGTTAAAACTCTTAATGATTTTCATAGCCTTATGGCTGGTGTGTTAAGTGCAGAACACACTTGATGAGGTCACCTATATGAGTGTGAGGTGGGGCCGCCTCCATGAAGCATGACAACGCTTCTAGAGCACTCAAGAATACCAAGCACGCGCACGGCCTAAAGGCGCACCACGGCGTTAACGCGAGGAATTGTGGGGGGTGAGACATGGCCGTTAAGACCCTGACTTACCATAGTAGCTTACTGGTTCATAGAAACTATATGTTTCACCAGATGCTCGGTTTGTAAAGACTTAATCGTCTCGGTTTGGTTCATAGTCTTCGGACACCAAACTTAAAGTCTCGTTCCCGTTAATCCAGCAGATTTTCAAAATTATTATTTTTTAAGTTCAAATGTTTATTTGAAATATGTGGGGGATTGTTGGAAAATTATTAAGTATTTCAAATAAACAAAATTCATTTAAAATGTTTTTTTTTATTTAATTAATATTTAGAACAATAATGTACGGATAACACTTTAGCCAGATTTAGTTTGTTGAAATGCTTGAGTGCTGACCGAGTATTTTGGGAGCATGGGTGTGTTGCTTGGCCAGCCACAACTCTCTCCTAAGTACGTGGATCACCTAGTATCCCCAACAACTTCATTTTATCAAATATTTTACATGCTTCACACCTCTATTTAATGGACTTACGTGATCGAAGACACTATAGAGAGTATCTAATTAAGTCCGAATACTTTAAACTATACATATAATATTACGCTAAATAAACTGCTGGGTTACATAATCGATACTTCTATCCTCGTAGTTCTGTGTCCGGCAATTTCGCCGATGGGCTCGTTATATCTTGGGGGAAGATTTCCGGCCACCGGAAATACTTTCTTTAGGACAGCGTCTGACGCGTCTCGAGCCGTTTTATTCTCTAACATTGTTTTTGCAGGTTCCGACGACGATTATCTACAACAGGTATTGCTTAGGTTCTTGGTTTTAGTGGAGATATTTTTTAAGAGGCTGATATGGAAGCAATGATGAAAACTGCAGTTGATGCATGGCCGGGGAACTGTAGTATGTAGATATATTGATCAATAATGCAGTAATACTAAGGATAGTTTAATTTGCCGGTGAGGATGACTATATCTCAATGGCAGAAGGTTATTGAACTAAATCTTAGCGGTGTTTTTCTGTGCACACAAGTAGCTGCCAAAATCTTGATGAAGAAGAGAAAGGGAAGAATAGTTAACATAACCTCGGTTGTTGGCAATTTTGGGCAGCCAACTATAGGGCTGCAAAAGCTGGTGTAATTGGACTAACCAACTGTGGCAAAGGAATATGCAAGCAGAAAGATTACAGTAAATGTCGTTGCTCCTGGGATCTAATATGACTTCTAAGTTAGGGGAAGACATTAAAAAAATATGGAACCGAATCCCATTAATATATAATATACGAAGTCTATAGGTCTTTTTTGGAAGTCCGTGGGGTCCTAGTACCCCTTGGGACACAAGGTGAGTTTGCCATTGAGCGTGAGGATGATTTGATGTTACATAATTGCATTTCAATTAATTAACGTATCTCTTTAGCAATTTCATAGAGACAGGTCGAAACATAATGTAAAAATAAAGATTATAAATGTAACAAATACAAAAAAAGCGTAGGTGTCATAAAAGACTAAACAACATGAAATGAGATACATTTTCTGTCTGGCCATGATTCTATTTTCTGAAAATACTTCACCAGCACTACTGCACTACTCCATCAAAACCTTCGGTCAAGATGACTTTGTTTTCGGAGATGTAAAGCTTCATTCCTTTTGAAGTAAAATGAGATATAATCATGGGGCATTAGATGGTGATTCAAAGGGATCACCCAAGTCATCTATACTTGAAGTTAGGCATGGCCTCGGTTCGGGCCGCCCGGCCCGACCCGCTACTGTGCGGGCCCGGCCCGGCCCGGTTATCCGGGTCCGGGTCCGGTTCGGGCCGGAGGCCCGGGGGTGGGGCGGTTCCGGGCTCGGTTCATGGTTTTGACGGCCCGGCCCGGCCGGTTCGGGCCCGGGTCCGGGCCAAATCTATTTTTTTTTTAATTTTTTTCATTTGTTTTGGGCTGTTGGGCTTGGGCTATCTGTTTAGGCCGGTTTGGGGGGGTTTGGGGGGGTGGGGGGTGGGGGGGTGGGGGAAGAAAGGAAAAAAAAAAAATAATAAACCGGGTGGCCCGACCGGCCCGGCCCGGCCCGGTCCGGCCCGGAACCGGACCCGGAACCGGTGGCCACCGGTTCGGGCTCGGGCCCAACAAAACAGACCCGAGGCCCGGCCGGGCCTAGGCCCGAACCGGGCCCGAACCGGCCCGGGTCCATCCATACTTGAAGTAGATCTGTACGCAATTACAATGCATGTTGGATTGTCCTGCCACAAGTCTCTTAATCCTCATCACAACTCCACTTCACTTTCCTAGGATTTGCTCTACATCCACATTTACAAACATTATAATGATTTCTTGCATCTTTTAAATTCAATACTTCACCCAAATAGTGGCTTTTTTCGTTAAGATTTTACAACCTTTCACTAATATTGGGCAAACACTCTCGCGCCTTGCGCGAGCAAACGCTAGTAACTATATAAGGGTGTATCACATAATCTTCCTTTGAAGATATCGCCACTTCTCAAATTTTAAGAACATCACCGACGATCTTTCTTTTACATTTGTGGTTTTATCTATGTTTAAAAAACCGACCCGACCGGGTTGACCCGGAACCCAGTGACCCGGACAAAAATCCGGTTCGATTTCTTCAAAACCCGAAAATGGTCAAAACCCGGAAAAACCCGGCTGACCCGAAAAAAACCGATCCGGACCCGACCCAAGAAACCCGAAAACCCCGGGAAAACCCGGTTTTCGGTCTTTTAAAAAAAAAAGTAATTTCTTTTTTAATTTTAATGCATTTTTTAAACCAATAAAATTGCAATTTCAATTCCCTAAAAAGAAAAACTATGTAATATATTTATATATTTATTTAAGAATGAAAATCATGCCAAATTATAATATAAATGTACAATACAAATAAAAATATATAATGAGAGTGTATATAATTATATGTTTATTATTATTATATAGAAGTATAATCGTTGACCGGTTTTCCGGCTTTGACCGGGTTGACCCTCCGAGTCCGGGTTGACCCGTGACCCAGTCACATGACCGGATCACTCACCGGTCCAGTTTTTACAACATAGGGTTTTATTCAATTCAAATTGTTTTTAAATTAGAAATTAGGGGTGGACTCGGGCCGGGCGGCCCGACCCGGAACCGGCCCGGTTACTGTTTGGCCCGGCCCAGCCCGGGGCCCGGTGGGTCCATCAATTTGGTTTGGCCCGGCCCGAGTGATGGGCGGTCCGGGCTCTGCTTTAGGTGAACCGGCCCGGCCGGTTCGGGCCCGGTCCGGGCCGGATTTTAATTATTATTTTTTTTGAAATTTTTTTAAGTTTTGGGTTGGATTAGGTATTTTGGGCCATTTGAGGTGGTTTGGGGTTGAGGGGGAGGGGTAGGGGGTTAAATAGAATCCAAAAAAAAGGACCGGTTTGGCCCGGCCCAGCCCGGCCCGGTTTGGCCCGGAACCGGAACCGGCCACCGGCGGTTCGGGCTCGGGCCCAGGCCCGAACCGGGCCCAGGTCCACCCCTATTAGAAATAAACACCCATTTTCACATTGTTATGATAATGTGAACAAAAAACTGGCACTATACATTTATACAACCACCAAATGAAGAAACAGACACTATTTTTCACATTGTTAAGATAATAAAATCATATTTGACAAATTAGAAATCACAACAAATAAATAAGATTATGCGTGACTAATTGCCGAGCTTGTTCAAGAACTCCCTTGTATGATGAGCTTTAGCCACTTCTTATTGAAATTTTGAACATCCTTAACAGACATCTAATAAACTATTCACCGAATTTTGATCAAATAGATTTCCTACTGACCAAGTCCTGTTTGTTTAGCACTCGAACTCTAAAACAAGGTCGTTCATGTTATTTAACTAACCATAAGAACGAACAAGAAAAACACTGACAAGTCCAAACACACACTACTCAGTACTCACCCAACATTCTGTTAGCTTACAGCATTAATACTTTGTCCAGCCAGACTGCCAGGGTAAAGGTTATTTCAGGAGCTTCAAGAAAAGGCTGACCACTTGGTACAGTACAGTGTGAATTACAAATTACAAAGAAATCATTCTTTCTCTCATAACTCGTACTAGACAGTAGACGATTTAATTTATTGAGCGGCATTTCCACCTGTTCTGCTTGTCTCTGTCTCATAAAAAATTTGAATATAGTAGAAAATTTAAAAGGTATTTACTTGTTCTGAGATCCTTTCTGGCATTTTGAATCCTTGGGTTTAGACATGACTTCAGTGTTTCGGAAAACTTTCACCAGGAACAAACCCTTCTTTTATTTATTATTTAAATCCCAACGGTTTTGAAAAACGCGAGCTATCATCACTTCTCAATAACTCGCTTGGCTCCAACTAATGTATTCTTCAGTAGCATTGCCACCGTCAGTGGGCCCACGCCACCGGGAACAGGAGTTATCCATCCAGCTACTTTGGATGCTTCTTGAAAAGCAACATCACCCACAAGCCTATAACCCGACTTCTTAGTTGGGTCATCTACTGCATTTGTTCCTACGTCAATGACAGCGGCTCCGGGTTTAATCCAGCTTCCTTTAATCTGTAAAAAAGATTACAAATCACTGTTTAGGTTGATATGGGTAGAAAGTAGAAACAAGAACCAGCTTTGCATAGGTTAGTGTCAGATTGCTTGAAGTATAAGTACTCCTATACCATGTTAAGTGCACGGCAATGACACAAACTCAGATCTTAAAACTTAATTCTTTTTAAGACAAACACAAGAGCCTGTTTTGGTAGATTTTAAACCACCCTCCTCTTTTCATCGAACACTAACTTATTTTGGGGAACCTAGTGATAATGAAAAAAAAGTAGTCTGGAGTTGCTTTAAAAAATATCTGATTAATTTTTAAAATAAACGCTTCACATATGTTTTTAAATAATATTAATATCTTAAGATAATTCAACATACTCATCTAATTAATATATAGCTCGCACCCACAATTTTAGCACAATCAGCCATTTCAATTGTATTTAGCCTTACCAAACGGGATCAAACACAATGTTGTTTATAGAGAAATATGGACCGAAACATAATGAGAATGAAAATGAGAGAATTCCTAAGAGTAGGGCTATTACCATTTTTAGTAGGCTACTGCCCTTAATAGCCTTGATTTGCTTATAACATAATCAGAGTAGGCAGACCAAGTAGTTTTTACCTTTTTATTTTCACAATGGACATTACTAAATACTTCTCTCATTTAGAATACGAAGTATTTAATAGATTGAACTAACTTCAATGGGAGTTATGTGATGACCATAAATAAAAGTCATGAATATCTTTTAAAAGGCTTAAAGTTTTTTTGCTCCAACCAGTTTTTCGGTTTTTCCCATAGAAGTCGTGTCGTGGTCTTAAAATGACGGACCACCAACTAACATGGTTTTAATATTATCTACAAAAGGTATGCAATAATATGTAAATTTTCACTGTCAGTTTGTGACGACTAAAACTTTGAACTGGAAGCTTTAAAACCTAGAATAAAATCTACTTTAGGTCCTACGAGTATCACACCAATTCCACAATTGGTCCACGTCTTTTACTTTGACCACTTTTGTATGGTCCATATATGGTCCTTCCTTCAATGTTTCGAGTGGTTAAAATCGACGGAAAAGGCCCACAAATGGTCAAAAAACATTAGCCAAGTACCAAAAGTGGACAAAGTGAAAGACGCAAACTAAATGTGGAATTGACATAAAACTCATGGGACCAAAAGTGGAATTAATTCAAACCTTAGATGTTGCTCTAAAAAATCAGTAATTATGAAATGCATCCATGCAAATATGCAATGCACGGGTAAAATTTTAATAACCCTCAATAATGGCTATTATAACTTACCTTACTTACGGAGTATACTTTTATATTTTTAGAGATTTCAAAATCACACGAGCATGCACTTGCAAAAGGAAGAAAATAGAAGCCATCAATTTACCATCATAGGTTGTCCTGCTGCTGCGATTACAATGTCAGCTTCACGAATGATTTTCTCTGGCTCCTCAGTGCGCGAGTGGACTATAGTAACAGTTGCATCTTCCTTCAGAAGTAGCAGAGAAACTGGCAATCCAACAATGTTGCTTCTTCCCACCACAACTGCCTTCTTCCCTTTTATGGTAACACCACTTCGAAATAGAAGTTCGAGGCAGCCCTGAGTGCAACACATGAAATCCCCATATAAGATGTTTTAGGAGTTGTGTACACCTAATAAAGTTCATAAACACTTTTGATGCCATGCTGCCAGATATTCACATTTATTTTGCAATATCAATCATGTAATGAGACAGGCCTATGTTAACTATCTTAATTCATTTCGGCTCCTGATATTTCCATGCAAGTGGATATAATCTACCACGCTACCATGATTATGACAGTTTTGGAACTCATCTCATTGTTCCTTCAAAAGAATATTGTGCATTGTGACAGGAATGACATCTGATGTATTATTTTACCATTACAGACTTATAGTTTTTCTACAAAATCAAAGGGCTTCTCCCCACAAACGTAGAGAAGTGTTTTCCACAAAGTTACTAAAGTATAAAAAATATACTTTAGTTTTGGAATAAGACCCTCATTTTAAACAAAAGAAGCTTTTGAAACATGACTCATTTTCTTCTTATTTTTTGTTGTAGAGGGTCGTCGTCGTCAACATCATCATCATTACCCAAATGTCACAAAGGCTCCCACCAACGGTGGGGTAAGGGGGGTGGTCGGATGTACGCAGCCTTACACCTAATAAAGTTCATAAACACTTTTGATGCCATGCTGCCAGATATTCACATTTATTTTGCAATATCAATCATGTAATGAGACAGGCCTATGTTAACTATTTTAATTCATTGCGGCTCCTGATATTTCCATGCAAGTGGATATAATCTACCACGCTACCATGATTATGACAGTTTTGGAACTCATCTCATTGTTCCTTCAAAAGAATATTGTGCATTGTGACAGGAATGACATCTGATGTATTATTTTACCATTACAGACTTATAGTTTTTCTACAAAATCAAAGTGCTTCTCCCCACAAACGTAGAGAAGTGTTTTCCACAAAGTTACTAAAGTATAAAAAATATACTTTAGTTTTGGAATAAGACCCTCATTTTAAACAAAAGAAGCTTTTGAAACATGACTCATTTTCTTCTTATTTTTTGTTGTAGAGGGTCGTCGTCGTCAACATTATCATCATTACCCAAATGTCGCAAAGGCTCCCACCAACGGTGGGGTAAGGGGGGTGGTCGGATGTACGCAGCCTTACCCCTGTAGTCCTGTACTAAAGCACAGAGAGACTGTTTCTGGAAAATACATGCAACGGTCATTGTAGAGTGTAGGGTGATGGTGATGAGTCCATAAGCACTTTTCACATGTATGGTTACTATGGATGGCTAGTGAATTGGGTTAAGTCAATGACAAAAAAACTACCTTTGGAGTGCAGGGAAGGAACAAAGGATCTCTGCCTTTCATTGCAAGCTTGCCAATGTTCAGAGGATGAAATCCATCAACGTCCTTTTCCAGACTAATTTCACTCAGTACATTTTCTTCATTTATATGTTTTGGTAGTGGTAGTTGAACCAATATACCTGTGAGAATGCTCTGCATCTAGTTATACATTATACATACTTTTATAAAAGTTATGCTGGGTATTTTTTTCTTCTGACAATTGCTAAGAAGTGAAAATGAAATTAAGACTTGCGCTACATTTGGGAGCTAAAAGCAGACTGCTATGATTATTTCCAGAAAAAAAGATGAATCATCAAAATATGTAGCCTTTGACCTGTTTATTTGGAAAACTCAAGAAACTCCGCTATTCAGCCTTATAAGCCTTACCTAACAGATCTTAAACAGGAGTAAGTAACAATATGCTCATAACTGACCAACCATGTACATCAGGATCAGCATTGAGCTCATGAACCTTGGTAATGAGTTCAGTTTCATGTACATCCTCAGGAAGGTCAATGTCAAAGGACTTTATCCCAACTTCGGTACAAGACTTTCTCTTCATATTCACATAGCTTTGAGAATCCTTCCTATTCCCAACAATGACTACTGCCAATCCTGGAACCTGCATATAACAGTTCATAAATGCAACAATTTATATCAATCACAAAGATGTTTGTGGTTCAATTACACCAGGAACACCTTTTTTGCCAATCAATTGAAAGATGCTCCTGGTTCATTTCTTCTTTAAGAAGAAATGATTGGCAGGAAAATGGAAAAAATGTTGTATCAGTAAAAACGTACTTTTAATGCTTATTTAAGAAAAAACACTAGTTATAACTTATAAGTCTCTAAAAAACACTTTTAAGTGCTTGAATGAGAAAGAACTTATACATTATACAATTAGTCATCCCAAGAATGCTACCGTTTACCCAAAACCAAAAGCTAATGTTCTCGCATTTAAAAAGCAATTCAGCTTAAATGGTAGAAATAGCATAGTAAAAATTTAGGGACATAAGACCAACCTTGCTATACTTTGCTGACATGACTTGTATCTCTGATGCAATCTCAGAGCGAATGGTTTGCGCTATTGCTTTGCCATCTATGATGGTGGCTTTATGGTCAGATCCCAGAGACATTGCTGCTGTGGATAACGGAAAAATTAGCTATAGTAGAGGAGAACTTTAAGTCTTGTTCGTTCTATTAAAATGAGTGCTCAAACAATGAACTTGTCCATTCAAATACAGGTTTTCGTAGCTTCAGTGAAAATTTAATAGAGCTTCATTTATAGAGTAATAAAGCCAAATATAAAATTTGTACAAACTACAAAATCGTGAAACTCATAAATTTGAATGATCACTTACATAACACGTGTATACAGGTATGTGTAGGCATTTAAATAAATGAGCCCATCATTTTTCTACATCAAAACACACATAATACTTCTTTAACTAATAATTAGAAAAATAAAATAAGCGTACTTCGATCACATAGTGTTTAGAACATGGCCCAAAAAGGCCAATAATACACCGCTACCCTTCATTTTTCACTTCTTCAATTCATGAGATTTTAGAGCTGCCAGGGTGTTGTTCATCTTCCTCTTCTTCTTGGGCACTGAATGAAAGTCCTTTAGCCTTCTACTTTACTTCCAGGCATTGGTTTCAAACTTGGCCTTTTTCTTCCACATTTTGTATTTGTTACTCTTAGGTCCGTCCGGGTGAAAGTGAGCAGTCACAGTAGAGATAATTAAAAATGGGGGCTCATAGTTGGCATGGCTCTGAGCCTTAGAACAGGTCTTCCGATGCTTGTCCTCCAATATTATTTGGCACTGGCATCTACCACTTAGGGCATTTACTCCACAAGTACTAAATCATTTCTTAAGTAGTATGCCATATTTTCCTTAGTACGGGATTTTACGGAATATGATATCTCTAGAAACTAGAGTAAGAAAAACGAACATAGCAAACACTTATAAGAAAACTCCAACATAGCATCTGCATTCTGCATAGCAGCATAGTGGTGCTAGATACACTGAGTGGCGGAACCAGAACAGAATTTAAGGGGTGGCTAAAAGAATGCTTAAACTCAAGACACTAAAATTTTAATAAGAGTATAAAAAAATACATAATATGTCAAAACGTGTACACTAGGGAAGTATTCATTGTTAACAGAAGAAACGAGCTGAAACAATTGTGTTCTGTGTGTCTGCATGCGTTGAAAGCGCTGCAAAATTGTGTCATTCTCAATGTTTGCAAAAATCCCCTTCTTGCGTATATCACCAAGGACCTCTAGTTATACACTCTCTTCGGACTTGGTCGAAATTGTCAAAATCATTGATAGGTGGTGTACGTGGCCCCGGATCAACCGCAATATCATTTGGATTAAATTTCATATGAGCGTATTTTTGAAGACCCACCACCCCGTGTCAAAAATGTATATATAGACATAGTCACATAGATAACCTCAGAATTCTAAAAACCAAGCATCTCTATTACTCCCTCCGTCCCATTTATATTGTCCCGTTTTACCTTTTCGGGAAGTCCCACTTAAATTGTCCCATACCATATTTTGCAAAGTTTGTGTGGCTCTAAATCATTCTTACTTTATTCTTACTTTATCAATTAATATCAACCACACAAACCCACTTTTCTTAATAACCGTGTCACCCTCTTCCGGGACAATATAAATGGGACGAAGGTAGTAGTTTTTAAGAAAATAATTACAAACTTTCAATTTAGTAAAAACGGCTAGACAAGTAAATAATTAATTGATTAAACCTTAAATCTAACAATAACACAATAACAAAACAAGGAGGCCTCAAATCTAACAATAAAACAATAACACTTACCACAATACCACTTACGGGTCAAGGCCTAAATGTAATTAATAAATTAAGCAGCTACTATACTATTTGTACTTGCAATTGGCAACGGGAAGTCGGCAAACGAAGACCACAAAGGAAGGGGAAAGGTCAAATCCCCAAATCAGCAATCTCTAAGAGTCCAAGAATCCAAGATGCCAATCTATTAGAGAGTTCTGTGAATTTACTCTTTGAATTCCCAACAATTCGGCGCTGAAAGACTGAACGGCATGAACCTAATATGGAGTGTTGGAGTTAAAAAATTTCCTATAAGTGGGAAAAGTTAAAAAAATTCACCAAAGCCCTCCTCCGGCGTTTCTGCGTTCCAGAACAGCCTGCGACGATTTGAGCGGACTGAAGCACAGGGGCGCTAATGGATATACTCCGGGCTAATACATATACATAGCTTAAGAACTCCTGCGAAGGGGAACTCACATATCCGCAAATATAAGGCCAATAGAAGATCTTTAGAGTGGTAATTCAGATTTGAATTTGCTTAGAGAGGATCTAAAAATTCATTAAAAGAACAACTAAAAACTGTGTTTCATATCTGGAAACCGGAAACAATGATTATTTTTTGTTTGACAACATTTGGCATGGAAGGAACTACGGGAGTTGAAGCAAGAGAAGAAAGAAGATGTAGGCATGGAGGTGGAAGATGAAATACCTGATGAGGAATTGAGGAAGATAGCGCGGATAGAAATTGGAAGTCAAGAGCCTGTTGAAATGCCTGACTGGTGACTACTGAAATGTTTTGCTTTAATTTGAAAAAAAAAAAAAAAAAAAAAAAAAAATTACTCCGTATTTTGAAGCAATCAAGCCTCAGATTTAAATAAACTAAAAATATCCTTTTGAAATGTGTTTCTATTTAAATCTAAACTAGACACTTTAAAGTAAATATCTAAAGTAGGAGTTATTTTTTAAGTCTACCTTTTAATTTTTCAAAATCAATTTTTTTCAAACAATGTTGATTTTATTACAAACATCTTATTTATAATATCGCAAACCTTCTCAAAAGTAAGCAAAAAACACAAATACACCTCATGTAGAAGAGGGTAGAAGCAGCAAGGGCATTCTCATAAAAATTACTACCTTCATCCCTTTTAAAAGTTCTCATAATAAAGTGACACAATTATTTAAACCATAATTAAATATGCTAATCCGAATATGTTTTTAGATATAATTTTGATGAGTATATAATATAATGCGTTATTGATGATAATTGTAATGTTATAAAAGTATTATTTTTAATATTTGATGATTAAATTATTATTTAAGAGTGTTAATTGTTTCCCAAAATAAAAAGTCAAAACCTTTAAGTGAGACATTCAAAAAAGAAAAGTGAGAATCTTTAAAGACATCTTTGCTGCTAAATCGAAAACATACTTTGCCACAGCTTATCCACATTTTCTCTGTCAACACTCGAGCTTTGACAAGAAACAACAACAGAAGTCAAGCCATTTCCGCCAAAGCGTTGCATCCCCGATCCCAAGTCTGCTTGCACGATCGAAAATTCGAAATCTACTGAAGGCCGCTCTTCGTCGATGACAAAAGCGAAAGAAACGAAACCCTAACTCGTAGGAAGATGACCACTAGAGAAGACTCTCCAATTCCAACAATTGGCCATAAAAACCCCGCCCCACTCCTTGACAAAGGCCGATAGTGGACAAATCCAACCTAGCGATTACCTTGCAGCAACCCTAGACAGAGAGGTCGTAGCGATCCCTTTACGTAATCGTTAGAAATCCAACTTCTTCCCAAGGTTAATCGAAGACAGAGAAGGCGGCTTGATAGATAACTCCTGGAGTGGCTTGTAACCGAGAAAGACAGAAGTAGCCGCCGCCATGGAAACACACTGCGGAAGTCTGTGAGACTTTACTTGCACCCCATCACCGAAGTAGGGGCTGTTTACCAACTATGCCTGACGGTTGATCGACGGGTAGCTCTGTTACCAAGTACTCTAGTACGGAGTATTAAAGAAGGGAGTATTTAAAGCTAACAAATAAATCAATGCTAAAGTTCACACTATCACTCTCATCAACATGGTCTTTTGAGTCAACAATCAATGATCCGGTGAATTACATTTAATATAGGCTTTCTGGCAAAAAAATAAATAAATCTTTGCGCATAACGAGAATCAGTTTGACATTAATGTGGAACTGGCACTGCATGCTATATCAGGTTAGATTGTACTCTGTAGCATAATAGCAGTGACGGGAATTTGGTCGCGAGAATTGTTAATTCAACATTAAATAAAAAATTGGATAGAGATTACAACAGAATCACACATAACCTTGTGTCTAACAAGCAACTCACGATCCCCAAAGCTCTTCTCAGTTCTAACATAGCACAAAACTTGGTCAAAAATAGGACATATAACATACTACTTATATTAACAGAAAACACTCTTCATATTGCAATATGCACCATAATAATTGAGAGGTCCTTTTACAAAATTTCACCCCTTCCACTGAAGGTTGCAGACGAATGGTCGTGGTGGCTAAGTTTACATGCCAGCATTTGTTGCACTTTCCTGAATCAATACACACCAGTTCCACACACGCATCATCAGTCTTCCATGTGGGCAGTTCCGGGGGGGGGGGGGGTCTCCAAGGCATGCCAAATGCTCAATTTTCAGAAATAATAAAACTGAAATGCTCCAACATACCAAAATTCTGGATTTATGGGAAAAACAAACAATCCAATGTGGAAAGGACAACCCCACAATAGGAAAACACAGCATTAACATCTTTATCTAGCATTGAAGCCAAAGTGATTTGTGCTATGCACAGCAAAAGCTCATTGAATGTTCATATCTTGTTTAATAGAGATTGTCCAAAGCAGATCAGATTCAGACTGGACAGTGACGACGGATTCTTTGACAATATTTGACGTGCTGACTAAACCCCCAAATCTCATTTCACTATTAGCTGAAAAGACAATAACAAGGTTTTTAGGCAATTGAAGGAGCAAATTGCAAAAAGGCCAGATAAAAAGAGAAGAACAAAAGATGGACAATATTAATGACGCATTTGTATTTTATGTAGACGTAATGAATGTAATACAACATAATCTGATAATTCAGATATGTAACGAAAAACGCACATTAAAAATATATTACTCCGTATTTCATTACATTACTTTATTACATCTTATTATATAGTCTACACCTAACACATAAAATTTACAAATTAAGTCATAAACACCCTAGCATAATAATTTGAAAACTTTACGGAAATACTTTCATTCAGCACATCAGTAACAAATTTTCCATCATGGGCAATGGAGCCAAAGCTATTTTTTGGCTTGGGAATATGATGGAATAAAGCAAAATGACTCACTAAAATGTTTGCACTTCTTTGTTATGAAGCAGCAGTCAGTCCATGCAATTTTCGTCGCGATTTTCACCATGAGTCATCCGGAAACAGTCTCTATGTACTACACTTTAGTACAGGGGTAAGGCTGCGTACATCCGAACCCCCCTACCCCACTGTAGGTGAGAGCCTTTGCGGCAGTGGGGTGATGATGATGAACACATCCATAACAAACATTGAACGACTACACCCTCACATAGTTTGGTAAAATATTCAATCAACAGTACACTAAGAGTTGCAAGTTAAATTGCAATAGTGTCAGCATTAACTCCACAAGCAAACACACCATGAATATAGCACTGTAAAGTCAAGGCTTTGCGGATGAAACATTACATGGCAAACTAATTTAATCTTATAAAACATGCAATATAAGGTGACAGCACAAAAACTTTTATATGTATTTGTACTAAGTTATATAGCACTATAAAGTCAAGGCTTTGTGGAGGAAACATTACATGGCAAACTAGTTTAATCTTATAAAACATGCAATATAAGGTGACAACACAAAAACTTTTATATGTATTTAATGTAGAACAAGAGAAAATAAGTTAAATAAAACTTCTTCAAATAGGACCATCATTATTCCCCCCCCCCTGAAAAATAAGGTTCATTCACCCTAACAAAGTTCTTTTTAGGATTGAACAAGTTCTGTTTAGCACCAAAAAAAGGATACTCTTATTTGTGCACATACCCATGTTTTCCTACTACTAGTAATGTCTTTAGTTTAAAAATACAATACAGATAATGTAAACACTAACAAGCATGTGAACAGACAGCCATACACATTATCATGTAGTCAAAACCTGTAGGGGGGTCGTCTCTTAAGCCCCCCCCCCCCCCCCCCGGTTAAGCTCTTATATCACGGGATTTGTATTAAAAATGATGAAAAATCCAAGCTTTGTCTAAATAATTATTACCGAGATTCCATTTAAGCCCTGTGGTTGTCGTGCTCGCAGAAGGCATTTTAATGGGAATGAGACCACAATGTGGGCCTTCAACGGAGGGATTGATATGAATCTCGTGATGGTGTGTATTTGGAAGAAGCTGGATGAGGCAATCATCAGACAGAAGAACAATTCGTGTACTCGCAAACTGGCAGAGAACATTAATGTTACCCATCTCATGGTCAAATCTCCCGCCAAGTGCTCCAACAACGAGTATGAACAACTAAACGAGTTTCAGAAAAACTAAATTAGTGCTACAGCCAACTTAATGTCATCTACAAATCACTCCTAAGACTTCATTTCATGATTTTTTTGCTGAGAAAGAGGAGGAAGAGGGTTTTGAAAAGGAAAGCCTTGAAGGCTTAGTCTATATCTTAATATATAGTATATCTTTAAAGAGAACAAACATAGAATAAAACGTTAAACGATCATATGCTATGTTATTATTTAGTTCGTTTGACTAAAATCTAATATGTATGTGTCTGTATCAATAAATATACATAGACCTCGAAACATCCAACCAAACTGACCCTAAATAAAGGTTGTTAAATACACACTAAGGAGGTAAAGAGATACTGCAGATGATTCAAAAGAGTAGAAAGAGTCAAAGTACTAACATTTGGGGTTTTCAGGTAGGACAAGTCATTAATATAAGCAATACATTTAGTATATCTTTAAAGAGAACAAACATAGATTAAAACATTAAACGATCATATGCTATGTTATTATTTAGTTCGTTTTAATAAAATCTAATATGTATGTGTCTGTATCAATAAATATACTTAGACCTCCAAACATCCAACCAAACTGACCCTAAATGAGGGTTGTTAAATACACACTAAGGAGGTAAAGAGATACTGCAGATGATTCAAAAGAGTACAAAGAGTCAAAGTACTAACATTTGGGGTTTTCAGGTCGGGCAAGTCATGAATATAAGCAATACATTTATGCAAATCTGTGGTGTTCTGATCATGAGATTCATCATCAACTCTTGATCCCTGCATCATTTAAGAAATCTCCATCAATCAAGGTAAACTGGAAATGCTCCAAAATGCTACACTCATTGGGAATTTATTTCCACATGCTCATGTAATCAAAGCATTTCTTCTCACAGCCCCACATATACTGAACAAAAGCTTCCTGCAGATCCAAGAAACACAAACAATCTTACGCCCAATATATAACAAAAAAAAGTGACTTCTAACTTACAAGGCCAGAATAGAAGTCTCGAACTTCATCTCGGATTGAGTCCATGTCCCCTTTTATGACATCTGGTTTGTACCTGCATCATGCAAACACAGAGTATCTTAGGAAACAAGAAATGTTTAATAAAGATATACTTCCTGTGTCCCACTATCTTTGTCTCATTTTTCCTTTTTCACCAATCCCACTGTTTTTTCTCATACCATACTTGGTAATATTTGTGTGGTTCTAATTCATTGATTTCATTCTTACGTTATCCATGCTCAAACAATTTAACAACAATCAAATAACTTCAATTTTTTAATAACTGCACAAGTCCCTCTTGTACCAATCTTAGAGGGACAAAGGTAGTATTTATTACATCAAGTAGCACAAGTCATTGTCCACTGATAGTTCATGTGGTCACATCTCAGGACAGTGTATAAAGCCAAGATCATGTTCAAAGTGCACACACCAAATCCTAGTTGGGGGCACTTTCAAAATAAACTACATTACTCTAAAAAAGACATCAGGTTATATTAAGTAATAGGTCACAAACAAGTAGCAAATGGATCATTTTTCCCTCCCTTTTTGCCTTTTCTGATGACTTTTAGGATTTCAGTACTTCACATTTCTATTTCTAGTACAGTTGATCAGTTGTACAGACAGGGAGCTAATAAAGATGTAAATAAACAAATCAAATTAACAATAACCTAATAACCCATGACCTAATAAATGGCTATTGTAAATTTTATACAAAACAATATATGTATTTTTACTCATTTACGCAATCTTTTGAAATTGCAACAAACCTCTTACGAACATCAGAGACGTCCTCATGAGGAAAGAAGTGAGGCAATTCATCAAACACTCTATTCGCTCCACCATCAGCGCAAATATGTAGCTGTGCTGCTCTAGAACAAAATGCGAGAACACCATGCTCATAAAATAATAAGTTTCAATACATGAAAGGTGCAAATGTTCTAACATTAAAGTGAGGGAGAAAGAAATAACCCTACTTCCAGAGTAGAGGAGTGAATCGTGGGAGGCGTTGGTTGAGGATGACGAGAGCATAAGTTAGTGCATGGCCCTCATCAGCAGGAGTGTTTGGGAGGAAAAAGGGTGAAGAATGAGTCATTAACTCCATTTTATCTTTAAAGTAGGAACGCTTGGTCTTCAATTCTTTATCAATATCAGCTTCAAGCTAAGTAATCAATTAGCAGCAGTTTGAACAGGTACGTAATCAGGACTCTTTTACAACTTGGGACTATGACATAAAACATTCATACAAATAAACTCTCCAAAACATAGAATAATAAGAGACAAGTTCAGTAATGGAGTTGTGGCTTAGACTCAAAAATTAACCCTTTCTGTCGATTCTCAATCAATATATACATCTATAGCTTATGCTCTGTGTCTGCGACCTATTACAATGAAATCAGATTAATAACATAAAATCCAGTTTAAAACATGACATGTAAATAACAAATAGTCAAATACTTTGATGAAAGTGTGAGGGAAAATGAAAAGAAACAATGGAATGATATGCAAATAATTATGGAATAAGTAAAACCGTGATGGCTATTTTTGTTATGACCCTAACTAAGGCAGAGGCATGTGCTGGAGCGGGAAGATAAGTTCAAAACTGTAGAAGGAATAATAACAAACTAATGGGCCGGTTGATTAAAAAGTAATAGTCCATTTACAATTTATATTCTGTTTGAACCCATTTGTACAATTTGGGCTGTTATTATTGTTACTGCATCATATAAGTGGATGAATGGACACGTAGGGATTAAAACAAGTATTATCCCTTTTATCTCTCTCTCCTAAATTCTGTTCTCTCTTCTCTCTTTCTATCACTCCCTAACTAACTTCTCGTACTGTATCTTCTTCTCCTTATACCAACCATGGTATGATTCGGCTATGAATCAGATGATTGGTCTAAGGAGAAGAAGATACTGTATGAGAAGTTAGTTAGGGAGTGATAGAAAGAGAGAAGAGAGAACAGAATTTAGGAGAGAGAGATAAAAGGGATAATACTTGTTGTATTCCCTACGTGTCCATTCATTCACTTATATGATGTAATAACAATAATAACAGCCCAAATTGTACAAATGGGGTTCAAACAAAATATAAATTGTAAATGGACTATTAATATTTAATCAACCGGCCCATTAGCTTGTTATTATTCCTTCTTCACTTTTGAACTTATCTTCCCGCTCCAGCACATGCCCCTCTCGCTCCAGCACATGCCTCTGCCTTAGTTAGGGCCATAACCATTTTCAATAGTGAGTGCAATTCAAATTAGATTTGAAAATATGACGAATTAAAAACATTTTTCCACATTTTTCTGACTCTTCAACTCATCGGACACACAATCTTGTCATATTTTACAAGCCATCAAATTAACATCCTTTCGGAAAGGATATTAATATACCAAGACTCCCTATGATACTCTCAATTTACTTCATAAAAATAGGAAAGTATCAAGCTAGTAATCCCTAATAGCAAAATTACCTAATCTACACGGAATTTACCTCTTAATTCAGCTTTAATAGGAATTACGATATGATCAGCCAATTAATGAATCAGAGAATCGCTAATGGCTAAATTAAAAAATCTAATTCACAATCAGGCTATCAGCCCAGGCTCTCTCAAATCATAGTTTAATCACCATTTCATCATAAAGACTTATTAGCAAGCGAAGACCCAAAGAAAGCATTCACACACTATATCCAAACCCATGAAGTGAGATAAGCACCAGAGTACATACCTGAAAAGTGATGCATACACACTGATACCCCTTACGGCAGCTTCCAGCTGAACCTATACCGGATTTTAAGATGACACAGTCAAGCAGATGTGAGGCGCAAATAGCTTCTAGATTGGCTTAGTATGATGCAAGAGTGGTTCACAGTTCACAAATCTTAGAGCTGGTCATTGAGGCATTTGATTAGTTCACTCCTGAGTTAGGGAACTTATTTCTGTTATTGCGTTTTTGTACTATTTTAATTTCAAAAATTATTTTCTATATAGGGACTGATTTATAATTAATTATTGTAAACATGATACGGTGTATGACTGTATGTACACAATTTTTGTGAAATAGTGAGATTTTATCAAATTTACCATGTATATTTATGGGATGTGAGATAATTTGAAGGAAATCTAAAATCCAAAATTTCACCTAAAAAATGGCATGGTTTTGAATGGCAATAGTTAAATAAATTAATTTGAATATGGTTTAAAAAATAGTTTAAGAACTTATTGAATACAAGTATAATGGTGTTGTTGTGGACATACTAATGTTAATTATTTTCTAAAATGGAATGCGAATCTTGATTTGGATGTCAAAAAGACGTTTACGTGTTCAATGAGTAACCATTCATATAGTTTGAGAATCCTGAATGGTAGGTAGGAAGGAAGTATGAGTCTTTCGCACACAAACATGAACCATGTGTAAAAAGACATTCACATGTTTAAAAAGTAACCCAAATCCCTTTTTTATCAATTTGGGCTGTCTACGGCATCTATGAGGCCCTAGACAATCGACAGTCGAGTAAATGTTTCATTTAATTTTTTCTATTCAACATCATTTGCAATGGATCCAAAGATTCAATATTTTTTTGCTTGGGAATATGACAAAATAAAGCAAAATGGTTCACTAAACTGTTTGCGCTTCTTTGTTATGAAGCATCAGTTGGTCCAGGCAATTTTCGATGCAATTTTCACCATGGGTAATCCAGAAACAGTCTCTCTGTGCTTAGTCTCTCTATGTTTTAGAACGGGGTAAAATTGCCTACATCCGGCCCCTACCCCACCGTTGGTGGGAGCCTTTACGGTACTGAGGTAATGATGATGATATCATATACTACTCTATACGGAGTATTAAAGTAAAGAGAGTAAATCTTCAAAAGTAAACAATCCAAAAATGATAAAAAGTACATGAATATGTTAGTAACATATTGTTTTAATTTTTTAAAGAGCAAAATTGGTAAGAACATCACTACTATCAAGAGTAGCCTTTGTTCTAACAATCGTTCTAGGCGTCCGACTAGTCCCCGCCTCGGCGCTAGGCGGTGACCGGGTGCCCCGATTTTCTTCTAGGCGCTCCGACTAATTGGTTTTCCGTCTATGTGAATAAGTCGACCACCTATGGCGCCTAATTGCCCGCCTAATGGGCCGCCTAGGTTTAGCCACTCAAAGAAATGAAGTTGTAAATTAAGATAAAACTATATATGTTTCTATATATACCTAAATTTCATCATTGTTTATATTTATAACATAATGAAGTTAAGTAATTAGTTATCATATACTACATATGATTAAATGTGATAATTCTATCATTCATGTTTGTTAATGTATATGAATATATGTATTTTATACACACAAAAATATAATATTACTTATCATATTTATGCAAAAACATAGATAAAAATGTAATTTCTTTGTCTCCGACTAGGCACTAGGCGCTGGGCTGTCGCCCGACTAGCTCCTAGCGCCTTTTAGAACATTGAGAGTAGCTAACATTTTTTTCAATTGATCACATAATCAAACTTGATAATCTATCTTCTGACATGATTGATCGAGGATAACTTCTATCGATTTCAATTATACAATCATACTTATTCAGTTAGTGTCATAATGAGTTATGCATATACACATACATTTATAATTTTATTATTTTAATACAAATACAAATTATACAACAATACACCCTAGTGGCCTAGTCCCTGCCTGACAGCCGACTAAGAATAAAAATTGAAAGGAAACTAAAACGTAAATCGGTAATCAATTACGGAGTAAATAACTATGAAAAGTAAGAAGGAAATGCGGCAAGATGAATAGAAGTAAAAAAAATAGAAGACTTGGTTACCTGAAGCCGTGAAGGTCGAATTCCACTCTGAGGTTCTGTGCTCGCGGCTGCTCCCTAGTCTACAGTCGGCGGCCTCAAGGTTGGTGGTCTCGGCCTCTTCCGTCTTCCGTAGATTTAGTCGGTCAATAGATATATGCGTTTACATTTAGAAATTGGAATGTAACTACAATTAAAATAAATATATACGGAGTACTATCGTATATGACTAGCAATTATATTTTGGGATTGTGAAAACACAAATCAGATTTCAAAATTAGATTGATAAACGTTAGAGAAAGTATGGATGAAAAACAAATAAAGTGACGAACGCCTACCAGCTGGGCTGCTCGCGGCGAGAATGAAAGACGTGGCTGGCGAATCCAAATACTACGTATATAAGAGATGGCGAGAAGGAGGTAAGCGAGAGCGGTCGCCGTAGACAATTGAAGAACGCAAGTCATGAACTGATGATAAAAAAAAAAGTAGGCTATAAAATAAATGTCTTGGCCCCACTCAACGGATAAGTTTTAGTTTGTGAGAAGAATTGGGGATCAAACTTAAATAAGAGTGGCTTCAATATAAAATCAAAATAAAAAGTTCGGTTCGATTTTACACTCCAAGACTTGAAATCACGATTTGATTGGTTTGATTTGTTTCGGTTCGATTTTGGTTGAAGTCTTCTACTATTATGAGTCAATAAAATCATATAAATACGTCTACTCATAAAAAACAATCAAAAAATTTTAACGACCTGTTGACAAACTCTCAATCCCGATTTTTGCGTACATCTGGTTATCTTTTTACAATAGGTTATATGACAGACGTGAAATATTTGGTCAAAATTGGCTTAAATAAGTACTCCGGGCCATTTTAAATCATTCGATTGTTTTATATAGATATACGTATTTATATGACACTTTTATTGATGATGGTTTTACTTGGATTGTAATTTGTCCAAACCAGACCAGAACAAACCAAATCAGACCAGACCAAACTTGAATAGTTTTAAAAATACAAAGAAATCAGACTAGACCAGACAAGATCATATCAGATCAGACAAGACCAGCAAATTAGTCCAAGTAAAAAGGGAAAGTTCTCAAAATAGGACTAAAAAGGTTTGAAATTTCCAAAAATAGGACTGTCATATTCCCAAAATAAGACTAATTACTGCCAAATTTGGAAAATACTGTCATGTTTAAAGTCTGGTACTGTCAAAACATGACAGTAATTAGTCCTATTTCGGGAATAAAAATATGAAAGTCCTATTTTGAAATTTTCAAACTGTTTTAATCCTATTTTGGGTAATACCTCAAGTAAAAACATTCTAATTTCTAAATGGATGTATTTATGTCAAAATTTCGTAAAAGTAGAAAACTTTATTTGACTTTTTATTAGTACTTTCATCCCCATGTGGAAGAGTTGCTCTGATTTATAGATTGTGTTGGGAAATACACTTGCATCCTGACACGTGACACCTTCTATATTCAATTATTAGTCGTTTAGTTAGGTTGAAAAGTTATCAAAAAAATATTCTCATTGCATCATTTTTTTAGGTCGGAGCATAGAGAGAATGGAAGATCTGAAAGTAATACTGAGTGAAGCATTTGGGGAACCATCAGACAGCGATCCGGAAGATGAACTCAGCGAATGGAAAATTTCAAGCATGGGAGGAGGAGGATCGATCTTCTTTGGTTCGAATTGGTCATGGGAAAGGATCACTGAGGTGAATGGCCTGTGGGTTTGCAACGATTTTCTCTCCCTTGACCAGCAATCTTCATTGCTCTCAGCCATACAAGCAGGTAATCCTTTTGATGCGCTCAATTTTGAATGAACTCATCAAAAATCTCATTATTTATCTCGTGCTGCTGCAGAAGGATGGTTCACCGAGGAATCACATAACCAGGTTTTATTTTGTTCAGTTTCAATCCGTGAATTCTTTTTTGTTCGTGATACCCCTAGCTCCATTTTTACAATCAACTTGGTACTACCTACGGAGTATTAAATATTAATCATTTAAGTAATGCTGTACTGTAGTACTATATATGAATAGCAATGCTGTACTGTAGTCCCAACTCTGCATTGATGAAGCAGGACTCCAGACTAGTGTATGGACTCGCGATGCTCCATACATGCTCACTGCTCAGTTTGATTGGTTACATGAAATGATGAAAATATGTTGATGTCGGCTGAAGATATTTCTATGAAGTTGTTATTCCTGGAAAATGTGTTCTTCTATAGTTCTTTGTATATATATGTTGTTCGACCAAGCAGAACATAGAAAAGATTGATTTTGTTTGAAAATGAATTCTTCCAAAGAGTAAATCATCTTCGACAAAAGTTTATAGAATCGAATAAAATGTGCCAAGCTCTCAAGAAAATGGGAAATACATTTTCCAGGGAAATTCCCCTTGCAACAAACAGAGCATTGGGCTTCGTTTGGATCATAGGAAATTGTTTCTAATGTTTTTGGTTTCACTTTGAGAAGTGCAAAGCAACTTGAAATATTAAGATATTTGATACTAATATTATAACTACATCTGTCCATTAGTACTTCATCATTTAATATTTCAATTGGTATTAATATTTAAATTGATTAGAAACTAAAAACTGAATTCAAATAAATAAAAAACACGATTCTTGAAATTAGAGAACAATAATGAATAGCATTTGGTTACAGTTTACAATACTACATGAATAGTAAACCATCAAAGTTTAGTGGGATGGAGGGAGTATAATATAAAGAAACATTAAATATAAATTTATTTATTTTAAACCAGTGTTTTATTCTAAATACACTCTCTTTCTTTCAAAATTTCTCCTATACACTCTCTCCCTATTTTCTTTCAATAACACTTATAGGAGTTCCAACCGGACTCTTAAGTTTGGTACTTTAAGATTCTTCAGTAATATATCTGCAGCACTTGCAGTATTCCAGAGATAATTAAAATTAGTCGTAATGTAAGATAACAGAAGTTAAAAATCCTACCCCACAAAAGGAAATACCTATCTTTGCATTATCAACAATTTTCCTCCGCTGCAAATGTCTAAGCATCAACCCAAAGACGCCTATGATTTTAATGTATAAACTGGAATCCAAATGATAAATATTTGTAATTGTTCTCATTTTTCATGGAATCATGGAAATATATGTAAGTATAACTATCTGATACATGGACTCGTTCTCATGTGTTCTTAATTTGCAGGCTATGAGGTTTGGAAACCTTCCAGAGTGGGCAGTTGAACTTTCCAACTCAATCCGTCAAGCCATTCTTTTTTGTGGTGGTAGTGATTCTTGTGTTCCTGATGTGCCCTTAACAACAAACAGTGGGAATGACAAAGAATTGATTAGTCTCTTTCCTCCGGATTTATTATGGAGGGAGCCTTTGTTTGATCAGCTTATTGCAAATGTATACCAACCAGGTGAGGTGAGACTGGCCCTACAAACATGCCTTTGTTTTCTGGCATATTAAATCTTGTAAGTAAGTTGTTTTCACTTTTCATGTGAATAATAGACACGAGTTATGTTTTCCCTCGTTACCGGAGCATCTTTATCACTCCACTGTCTTAAGAGTTTTTTCTACTTGTAGTCTTTTAAATGGGTGGTTGAAGTCTTCTAAATGGGTCTTATTGATATTCTTGGTGCATGACTTTGATTTTTTTTCACTTTTAGTTTTCTTGGTATTGTGATAATGTCACTTTTGCTTCTCGAACTATTGTGATAGTGACACCTTTGTCTGCAACTATTGTGGCGAAGTTCAAAGACGAGTAACCAAAATGTACAAATAGTAAGAGGACTAAAAGGGGGAAAGTTCAAAGGTCTTTACCAAAAGTGTGTTGCAAAACTGACTCTGTCCATTGCCTAGATGACTAAATGTAGAAAAGTTAAAAAAATGGGTACTAAAACTCTAAAAGTGTTATTGTCATAATAGTCAGAAACTAAAAGTGGAAAAATTATCATCGTAATAAATGTTTTCCAAAATAAAACTTTTTAATTTGGGTGCGATACAACTTTATAATCTTTTGAACTGACATACTAAAAAAATCATTGGTTTGGCTAAATCTATACAGCTATACTTAACTTGTTTCAATAACTACTTTTGTCCTAAATCAGAGCCCGTTTTAGAAACATGTTCAGTTCTTGTATAATTTAGTTAAACCAACAAATCAATTGGAAAATTATAGATTTTAATGTTTTCAGGATTGTGACTGCTTTTATTTTGGAAACAAAATCAGGGCATACGTGCACATGTTGATCTCATGAAGTTTGAAGATGGAATTGCCATTGTCTCCCTGGAGTCTTCATGCGTGATGCATTTTGGAAGAGCAGAAAGTGAAGACGTTTATAGTTTGGCGGAGGATGATAGTGGTGGGAAGGTGCCAGTGCTTTTAAACCCGGGTTCACTGGCCTTAATGTGGGGAGAAGCTCGATACCTTTGGAAGCATGAGATCAACCGCATGCAGCAGACTGCTGGGGGGTTTCAAGAATGGCAGGGCAGGGTAATCACCCAGAAAAGAAGAACATCTGTCACCTTGAGAAAGCTTTGCCTGCCAGATTGAGTTAGAGTAGAGGACTAGACCTTCCTCAAGCGTCTTTTTCAGTGGCTCTGTCTCTGTGTACCTCATGTGAAGATCCAAGAGTGCAGAGCCCTAACATGTTGTAGCTTTACCCTTAGAAAGTGTTTGACTGGGAGTGTATATCCAATGAGGATGAACTCGACCGAATATTTTAAAATTGTGACATACGTAGTATTTATGCAGTTGCTGAATCAATGTGCAAAAAAAAATCAAGTGTATGTATTGATAATAGTGAGAACTGAGAAGGCGAAAATTGTACCTTGGATGATAGGTTAGAGAACAAATGTAGCCATCAATTTTCTTTAGGAACAATTAAATACAGTAATTATACAGTTAGAACAAACATGTCTTTATGTCTAATGGTTTAGGCGGAATATAAGTTCAATACTCCATATATTTTAAGGATATATTTATCAAATTCCCAAAGAAACTTCGATAGGTACATTTTGTTACCTGATATTAGTTCAGGGCATATATGTTCTTTTTACCATTCTTAATACGGAGTATAAACTATAAAGGCTATGAAACGAAGCTTCAATAATTAAAACCACCTTCGAGGCTTCAACTATGTTTTCTTTTTTCATTATTAACAAATTAATTAATGTATGCAATCAAATGAAGAAACGGCTTTGTCAGGTTCTTTTTTTTGCAAGAGGCTTTGTCAGGTTCTTGTTTTCTACTTTTCATTTATACTAGTATTCCTACCCATGTGGCCATGTGAGGAAGACATGTTTAGTTTAAAAGAAATTGGAATAATCAATAATATATGAAAAAACATTACTAATATGAAGTATTACTTTTGAAAGTGATGGACAAAAATGTGACTTAATAACTATTAGTGATTATAATTATGTTCAAAAAATACATTATATTGTTTCAGAAAAGGTGGAATCTCCCGCCCCAGGAGCCCCCACATCCCGACTCGACAGAATGATGGAGTAAGTCAAAAAGTACATTATATCTAGTAACTAAATGATGTATTTTTTGAACTCAATCATAGTCATTAAAATCTAGATCAGATTTTTATGAACTTTTACAAAAATGACTAAACACGGAGACAAATAGTATGAACTAAACAGTACTCAAAATACGTCGCACAATTTAAGAACTTTTTGGATGGGCAAAAAATAGTTTGTGCTAATGTTTATGCTTTATAGGAGAAAATTTTAATTTCAGTCATAATTTTTAGAAAAACACAAAACCTAATAGCAATATTAAGTCGATTCAAAAGTTTACAACTATGTAAAAACTGTTATCTACGACTCTACGAGTTCAAATTAATAGCATGTACGATAGTATAATACTTCGTATAAATTATAAAATAGAGTGGGAAACACAAAGGCATAAAATCCAAGCCCAACAATAAACGATTTTGTCCGACTAACGTATCAAATGTCTCCCAGGATAGAACGGACTCATTTCCGTTATTGGGACTCCGACGTACTCGAAGATGCAAGGATATTAGGGAAGAGTGACGGTGAAGGAGAAAATTCTTGTTATAGCAGGCATTGGTTTTATTATCATGAATTCATGATTTGAGATTTGACCAGAGCAAACTCTTCATTTAGACCTCGTAGGAACTTAATGATGAATCCGTTATGTCGTTCTTTCATAATCTTCTTAAGAACTCCACATGAACAAGGTGTCAAACATTTACAAGCAAGAACAATGCCATATTGTTCCAATTCTTTCCATAGGGATTGCAGATTTGTGAAAAATTGAGTAATAGAAGAAGAACCTTGACGGAGTTGATGAATATCATCATGTAGGTAAGCAATACAAAACATATCTCCATGAGAAAAGCGCTTAGATAGGTCCGTCCATATTGCTGCAACTGTATCAAAGTATATTACAGATTCTGCGATTGACGATATCATTGAACGCATAAGCTAAGCCATGACTATGTGATTGCATCTTCTCCAAGGTTTGTATAGAGGATCAGTTGTTGCAGGAGAAGGATCCATCAACAAATCTGTCCTTATTCTTTGATTCAAGCATGTTATGGCGCCAAGAATGAAAATTCTTCTCCGTGAGAAGAGCTGGAACGAGAACCAACGTAGGGTTTTCATTAGGATGAAGAAAAAGCGGATTGGAAGGATTGATCAAGTGGACACCATGATGACGTTTCAAGGATTCATCAATGGATTCTGCGGAAGAAGTTGTTTACATCTGATACCATATTAGCAGGTGAAATGTGGAAGAAGATAAATTTTTCATATCTGAATGTAATGGTGTACAGAGATATTTATACAGAGGGGAAAGCAAAGTCAACGTAGCTAACTATCTAACAAACTTCAATTTTGCTCTTTGTACCCACCAAAATACCCACCTTATACACACTACAAATACCCCAAAAAAAATCACCCCCCTCTTTTCCCCTCACCTCACACCCGCGTATCTCACTCGCTCCCCCCCCCCCTTTCTTGAAAATCAAAACACCTGCCTCCTTCTCTCCCAAATCGAAACTCATCTCCCCCAAACTTCTCTCCCACATCCTCACGACCATTGTGCGTTTGAGGTGTTAAACGGCGACATCCCCGCAACCAATCTCCTCTTCGAAGCCGTTCTCCACCTCTGCAGATTCGAACCCCTTCTCTAAGTGTGGGCGATTCGAGGGTTTAGAAGTGATGAAACCCCTTCTTTGCGCACAACTTTAGGACAACGACACACACCACTGGAGATGGCGGACGGGTATGTATCATTTCCCAACCTTTGTTTCTTTTTTGGGTAATTTTTTAATTTATTGGGTTTTTAGCATTTCGAACATGGGTCTGTGGGTATGTGACACACACCAATGCTTTATTTCTGGTTTTAAGACTGAGAATATGTGAAGTATTGTCTGTGAATCAACATTTATATATCATATGGTATGCTTCCTTTGTTGAGGTTCATAAGGTGTGTGTGGTGGTGAAATCTTCATTCGGTGTTAATTGTTGTCTTTCAATGAAATTGTGTCTATGAAATAGTCTAATTCCTATGTTCATGTTTCACATTGTCTGTGTGGTGGTGCAAAGTTGATTTGGTGTTAATTAGTGTTTGTGCATGATATAGTTGTTTGTGTGGTGGTGTGAAGTTGATTTGGAGTGTTATTTATTGTCTATGAATCAATTTGTGTGTATTATATAGTGTAGTTCCTTTGTAAACAAATTGATAATATAATACACACAAATTGATTCACAGACAATAAATAACACTCCAAATCAACTTCACACCACCACACAAACAACTATATCATGCACAAACACTAATTAACACCAAATCAACTTTGCACCACCACACAGACAATGTGAAACATGAACATAGGAATTAGACTATTTCATAGACACAATTTCATTGACAGACAACAATTAACACCGAATGAAGATTTCACCACCACACACACCTTATGAACCTCAACAAAGGAAGCATACCATATGATATATAAATGTTGATTCACAGACAATACTTCACATATTCTCAGTCTTAAAACCAGAAATAAAGCATTGGTGTGTGTCACATACCCACAGACCCATGTTCGAAATGCTAAAAACCCAATAAATTGAAAAATTACCCAAAAAAGAAACAAAGGTTGGGAAATGATACATACCCGTCCGCCATCTGCAGTGGTGTGTGTCGTCGTCCTAAAGTTGTGCGCAAAGAAGGGGTTTCATCGCTTCTAAACCCTCGAATCGCTCACACTTAGAGAAGGGGTTCGAATCTGCAGAGGTGGAGAACGGCTTCGGAGAGGAGAGTGGTCGCGGGGATGCCGCCGGTTAACACCTGAAACGCACAGTGGTCGTGAGGATGTGGGAGAGAAGTATGGGGGAGATGAGTTTCGATTTGGGAGAGGAGGCGTGTGTTTTGATTTTCAAGAAAGGGGCGGGGAGCGAGTGAGATACGCGGGTTTGAGGTGAGGGGAAAAGAGGTGGGTGATTTTTTTGGGGTATTTGTAGTGTGTATAGGGTAGGTAGGCCTGGACTCGGGCCGGTTCGGGCCTGGGCCCGGCCGGGCCTCGGGCCAGGAAAGTTGGGCCCAAGCCCGAACCGCCGGTGGGCGGTTCCAGGTCAAACCGGGCCGGGCCGGGCCTAACCGGTTCTAATTTTTTTTTTTTGGCTCTTCTATTTAACCCCCAACCCCAAACCACCTCAAATGGCTCAAAATACCTAATCCAACCCAAAACTTAAAAAAAATTCAAAAAAAATAATAATTAAAAACCGGCCCGAACCGGCCGGGCCGGTTCACCAAAAACTGGGCCCGAGCCCAGACCGCCCAGCAGCCGGGCCGGGCCGAACCGAACCGGTGGACCCACCCGGCCCCGGGCCACCCGGCCCGAGTCCACCCCTAAGGGTGGGTATATTGGTGGGTACAAAGAGCAAAATTGGATTTTTTTGGGGTATTTGTAGTGTGTATAGGATGGGTATATTGGTGGGTACAAAGAGCAAAATTGAACAAACTTATCTAACAAACTGTTATAAGAAGTAATATGCTATATGCGTCTCCACAATGCTTGTATGAGTCCGCACGTGTGGCGTATATGTTAATATTTTTTTAATTAAAATAGAACAACATATTTGCCAAATCGGTTCAGCCTTCGGAATGGTTTGCAGACCAAAATCTACATTTTTTAGAATGGTCTGTAGGGAATCTACCCTGTTTTGTCAAATACCCTTCAAAAGAGTCCAGGTTTTATACCGTAGAGAGATTCTTAAATAATCTTCTGTTGAAGATTTGAAGCAATCCACTTGTGAAAACTCCAAAATGAGATGAGGTTCAAGAACTCTATACATTCTTGTATTTTAAAATTTAAAAAAAAAATCACAAAAGGCAGTGGATTACAAACACAAAGTATTATCTTTCAAGTTTGCTTAACAGTGCTTCAACAGGAGGTAACTCCTTGACAATCTGTCCCCAGTCTGGCATCCCCTGAAACATAATAATAATGATAGAGCCAGAGAGTAAATTCCATAGAGAACAAGAAAAGGCTATGAATTGAATAAATGCCGTAAAACCTTTCCAGATCTTCGAACACGGCCATCTAGACGAAGTATAATATATACATCTTCACCAGGAGCGACACCTTCAGATTTCTGTTGATCTCTAATCCATCTGAGCAAAATTAACAAACCATGCACAGCCCAGAATGACAACATGAAAGTCAATAAAGATCAATAAGATTAACACCTACTGTTCTCCTAGGAATATTTATAGTATCTGGGGAAAACATACTGTTCCCACTCAACTGGTGACACTGCCTCTGCTTTGAACCGAATCTCTGCTTTTAATTTTGATTGCGCAATTATCGACTCACTTCGCTTCTCGAAATCTTCCTGTCACAATAGCATCACAAAAAACATAAAATTGTAT